CTTGAGCACGCCCATGGAGTGGTCGCAGGTACCAGTTAAAATTATGCTAATTACTCTCTCGTTCATAAAAATAAACATTAATGATGCCACAAAATTCATTTGATTTAAATGTACTCAAAAGTTCGGGAGGATTTAGGGCTGCACATCCCCCTTAAAATTTTTCTGTGCGCTTAGATTTTGTTGTTTCTTTTTTTATGAAAAATGCTTTCAGAACAAGAATGTAACGTGTCCATTTTTATTACAAAATTTCAAGTAGTTTAGGAGATGGAGAATGCAAAAAAACAATTTTTATTTTGTAACTTTAAAGGGCTGTAACTTTTTTTGTGTACACTTTTGTACCAGTGTAAGTTGGATTCAATCAATTTATTTTTGTCCCCGGAATGCGTGATTTAATTTATGACTTATCTTTTTGAAACACCTTGTATTTTGATGGAGTGAAACACATGCCTCGAAAGAATGCGTACACACTTAGGGAACAATATTTAATTTCAAATGTGATCCATAAAATCGTTTCTTTTCATAAATTGTTGGTAATTACTAACTGAGTTGTACTATAATTCAATGTATAATTATAAATCTTTTATTGATAAATTGGATAGCGATATCTGCAACTCGCATTTTAGATTCATTACCGAATAATCAAGAGAACTATCCGCATTGCATGTGTAATGCAAAGTAAGTGATTAATGACATCCTGATTTTTTCATTTGGCAAGATAATGGCAATGTTTTTGGCAAAAATGTATCGAGTTTATTTTTAAACTGCTTTAACATACAAACATTTGTTTATTGTCGATGAAATGGTTGTTTTGTTGTCCTAAATAATATATATATTTACTATTTTCCATTTCTAGTATTTTTCTATAATTATAGCCTTTCTTTCAGCGCACACTGATAATACTGATCACTTCCGGTTTTTCAATGTGCGAACCTAATGACGCATTTGTGGTATTTTTGACTCGATGAGCGATCGAAACTATTGAAAATTAAAAGAATGCTCATCTCAAAAATACGTCAACGGGTTTTGCACGGAATTTTTAATAATAACGTTAAGATATATGAAAAAATTTATGTAAAAGAATCAATCGATAATTTATTAATTAATTAATTATTTTTTGTAAAGAAGTGTTAAAGAAAACTTCAAGTTCAGCAAGTAAATGAAAAAATATTAGTACAAGTTAACCTTTTATACAATCCCATCAGCTGTGGGAATCTAATATTTAAAGAATACGCTTGAAATACTCAACCCTCAATACGCAACAAAAAAGACAATAAAGCCCCAGGAATCGATGAATTCTGTTCATAAATGTATAGAAAAGGTGGTGATCAACTTTTTGCAGCAATACATAAACTAAAAGTACTTATATGGCAGAATGAATTGGTACCAGAAAAGTGGCTAAAGGGAATATATCCGTTGCATAAAAAGGGTGATCAACTGGAGTGTAAGAACTATAGAGGCATTACTCTGTTAGCATCTGCGTATAAAATCTTAGGCAATATATTGTTTGTGTAATAAAATAGGAATGGGAGCGTTATGTGAAGGTAAGGAAACGCTGTCACCAATGAAATACACAATAGATCCTCATGGGATGCTAAACCTGCGAGCGGCTGCAAGGAATACTGGTCACACTGGTCTGGAGGGCTGGCTCGTCTTCGTGGATTTACGAGAAGATAAGGGATTTCGGGATAGGGGTAAGGACTCCTAGGTCTCAGGTCCTGTAAAGAGCAGAGGTTATGGGCTTACTTTTGAAGCCGGAGATATGCATACGCGGAAATCTCGTGTTCTCCTAATCTCTAGAGAGTCGGACCAAAGGAACATAAAAAAACTAATTTAGAGTCAACAATATATTGAATCTACCCTGAAGTTACAAATAAAATCGTTAACACTTTATTCTGCGCGTCGGGAGATGATGAAGCAAGATAGTGAAGAGTTGACAGTTGTACTAATATAATTACACAGGTTAGTATAAAGAAATCTGTTACCTTATGTGTATATTAGGGCTTTCAACCACGACACGTTCAGTCTTCTGGAACTCGGTCAGTTGAGGGTTGCGAACTTTCGAGCTGCCACAATAACCGAACTACACGCGATACTATGCCAGATGATACGCGGCCCCCGGAGAATCACCGACTGTCTCGCGTACTGGATGCTCCCGGAGGCAATTACTGCCTCGGGCAGGCACAGCTGCCCGCTACTACGGACCGCTTCCGTCGTATATCCAATACTGACTGACTGACTACTAACTGCTTCGTACCCGACGCTCCCGCGTCGAGAGTACCCGGAGTAGGCAATAGGTGCCTGGACGCCCACCGTATCACTACTGCCTCGATTGACCAAGTTTTTCAGTTTTAAATGTCCTGCAAACATTCGTAGTTTTGTTTTGTTATTTCTGCTGTACTCCACGTGTTGAAATGTAACATGCGATGGTATGTTGTATTACTTTTCATGAAGGTCTTCTGATTTTGTAATTCTTAAACATTCGTGCTTGTATCAAACTAGGTCAAATTGTTATACTTTGTATAATTTAAATGTATAAGTTAACTGTATTAATTATCCCTTATTTAATTCGGAATATATAATAATTATCTCGAATAATTATTATCTTTTCTATGCTATTTAGCCATTTATTACAACTTCTCACTCACTTGCTACGCTCACATTACATTTGAAAGACTGTAACATTTTACAAAGCATATTGTTGGTCAATATCAATGCGGATTTACTGCTGGAAAGTAAACTGCACATCAAATTCAAGCACATACACAGATTCTAGAAAAGTCACTAGAATATAACATAGATACACACCATCTCTTCGTCGACTTGGAAACTGCCTATGACAGTGTTAAAAAAACTGCGTTATATAACGCAACGATAGAGTTTGGGATCCCACCTAAGTTAGTTAAGTTGACCCAACTAACAATGCAAAAAGTAAGCTCATGCGTTGGAATTGAAGAAGAAAACTCTACGTTCTTTGACATTAAAAATGGTCTAAGACAGAGGGACGCGCTGGTGTGTCTCTTCTTTAATATTGCCTTGGAAAAGGCAATCAGACAATTAAATATTAGAATGAATGGAACTATTTTTAATAGATCGACGCAAATTCTCGCATTCGCTGACGATATAGTTATAGTGGACAGAAGTATGAGAGACATGCTGCAGTGTTTTACAAGGCATGCGGACGCGGCAAGTGGTAAACGAGGAAAAAACAAAATATATGTTGGTTTCTAAAAACCCCCGAATTATCCAACCGAGAATTCAAATTAACAACCATATCTTTGAGCAAGTCAAAGAATTCACATATCTTGGATCGCTAGTAAACGCAACAAACACGACAAGCGACGAAATAAAAAGAAAAAATATAGCAATAGCAAACAAAACTGTTCAGTCTCCAGAAACATTTAAAAAAATAAAAATATAAAACGTGTAGTAAAGCTCAATATATACAAGATCTTAATAAGACCGGTTTTGATATATGGGGCTGAAACGTGGACCTTCTCTCAAAATGATGAAAGTCTTCTTAGAGCTAAGAAAAATTCTTAGAAATATTTTTCACACTATTGATGAAAAGACAAATGCTCTAAGTTACTAAGTACAGATACTGGCAAAGAAAAGTGGTATAACGTGGAATGGAATTAAATAAGCTATAACTAAAATCAGTAAAGAAAAACAAGCAAGAAACGCGAACTAAGAGCAAATGTTGGGCCGCAGACGAAATCTTGGACCTTACGAACTAAGACTAAGAAAATAAAACTATTCTCAACAGCAGGTAAATTATTAAGAACAAGATCAGAGAAACAAAACATGAGTAGTGGTCTATTCGATAATGTAGAAGCCAAACACGATTCGTTTAATATTAAATAGTGAAAAAGCTACCGAATTATAGAAAAATATATTTACTGTATTATTAATAGACCAAAAAGGGAAAGTTATCTGTGATACAGAAGCAAAATTAAGGAATCGTATATTTATATCAAAGTACTGCACAAAAAAACAGCAATTAGCTCAGAATCATAACATATTTCCTTACTAGAGATGCTTCAGTTAAGGGACACCTTCACACAATGGAGTTGTTTTATGAAAACTTCAGCTGTAAACTCTGTAACAGAGTACCTGAAGCAGTCAAGTCATAGACAGTGGAAGAGTACTTTGATCTTTGCCACAAGAGGCAGTTTTTTAGGCAATAATTCTTCATAGTAGAGCCGCCCTGTGGCCGTTTTTCTCTTTTCTAGTTAGACGATGTAGATTCACATCTTATAAATCCCAGAAGATAGTGGTCACTACCCTTCCTGCCGATAGGACAATCTTCGCCTTCTTCGCAGAACGTATGCCGGGTCAAGTCCACTATATCAACTGTTCCTTGGTCTCTAATGTGTACCAGAACACTGTTCTGAAATGATCTCATAGTTATGCTTGTTATCCGGAGTGTGCACTCAACGCACAGTTTCATGTAAGATATGACCCACGCGGTTTTTTTGAGATGCCTTCTATCTAGGCTATCCCTCAGATTGTGGATTTTTGTCACGTTATCCTTCGTGGAAACCGTTTTTGGGGCATCATGGCGTGGTTCATCAAAAACCTATGTGTGACCACGTTAAAACTCATTAAAACAATTTTTTAAAGCCGCAATCGAAGAAGAGTTACCGTACACGACATAAAGGCCATCTTCGATTTCGCTGAGCGATTTCTCTTCGAAAAACGAGAATCTAATCACCAACGGATATTGCTCCGAATCGGCTGAAATATAAACATTAGCAGTCTTTGAAAACCTACTACATGATAGAAAATGTTTCTTGCGAGAGAGGCGGTAAGGCTAAATACCTATTACTACTTAAAAAGCTACTAGTTGGGAAACTTTTTAAATCGAATTACGTTATTTTTAGTTCATACTGTAAAATAATATAACTGACTCATACTGATAACTCTATTAAATGTGTTAATTTTTGTACATTACGAAGACTACCAAAAATAAATTTAAAGAATAAAAATATTCAAAAACTTACCTTGTTCTATAAAATCTGAAACTGTTTTTTCTTTTCTTAAACTCGAATTGCAACATTCATCATAGAGAACAAGTAATATATCTATGAGGGTTTCGATACTAAAACTTTGTTCTTTGGCTAGCACAGGCCCGCCAAGAAACAACATTTCCAGTTGCCGCAACCGGCGTTCACCCGAAACCCCCTGCATGGTTCCCACGCTCTTTTCACTCATTTGAAAATGACATTAGCACCTGCAAAATAAATGATGATAACTAATGTAAATCGTAAACTATAAATATAATACGTAATATAGTTCAAGTTAAAGTGTTATGCCCATATGAATCAAAGAAATGACAATTATTATTAATGCACAATAACCATTTACCCAGTTTATTTTTAATGCTAGACGCAGATTATAAAATTTCAGTTATTATAAGATTTCAATTTCTATGAATTCTTGGGTAATTCTTGGTTTATAGAAGCGCATGGGGCTACGGTTCTGGAGTTTTCAAAATCAATTTTGTGACCTTTATGAAGATGGTGTTGACCTAGAGCTGAAATTGAATCGGAATTGCGAATCGAAATGGAATGTTCATAAATCCTATTTTGGATTATACGATATGTTTGACCTATATAAGATCTGGGGCAATCTGCACAAGGAATTTCATAAAGTCCGTGTTGTTTATTTGGAACGTTGTCTTTGATTAATCGGACAAGAGATGAAAGTTTTTGTTGGGGGTAAATAACCCCCATCTGTAGAAGAATATAAACCTATACCTATAACCGAAAATATACCTATAAACCAAGAAAAAAAAGCCAAATTGCCTCAATAAAAGAGATGACAGCATACGGTTACTTTCAACATGAAGACCTCTCATAAAGAAAATATCGTCTGCTCCTATCGTCAATCAAAATCTAACTGTCAGAAATGTTCGCGCTAATTCCCACGCTAACCCCAAAGCCAACCTCCACCAAAACCACTTTAACATCGATGGTATAAGTAGTGTCTGACGCCTCGGGAGACTGAAACCTCAGAAGCCCTGAAGAAGACATCAAAGAGGATGTCGAAAGCTCGGCGCAATTATTATAATCGACGCGGTTCAACCCGGAAGAATATTCATTTTTGTGAAAGTATTAATCTTAGCTCTACGAGACTGTAGTAATTACGGAAATCTTTTGGAATATATATATATATATATATATATATATATATATATATATATATATATATATATATATCAGTTCTCCTAAAACATCAAGTCGAAGCAGAACTAATCTGACTTGACAATGGCACAAGTGTGACCTTGCCGAAACGTCGTCAAAACAATGGTTTTTCTAAAAACCAAAACTATTTAACGCGGAGTCAAACCCGGAAAACATCTGAATATATATATATATATATATATATATATATATATAATTAAGGTAAAAATACGAATTTAGTGTACTTCAGTGATTAGGAGTCAACGAAGAATTTGACTTTGGGGTATTCCAAATGAGTGAATGACGTAGATTTTGTTGTCAAGTCAGAAACGGGTAGTCAGGTAGGATATGGTCAGATATGGTATGAAAGAAAATGAGAGGTTTGGTTTTGGAAAAGGAGACAATTTTAAAGAAGTTCGACGCGAGATTTGGAAAAGAAAGGCTGTTTTAATTTTATTCGTTATTAGTTATTATAAGTTATTAAAGAAAAATAAATTTTGGTGTTTCTGCTGGTTTGATAAAAAGTGAATAGTGGGAAAAGTAGTTAAGTTTTTATTGTAGCAGTCAAGCAGTGCAAAGTAGATATTATTAAATAAATTGGTAGTATTTTTTTTAAATACAACAAACTATCTGAGGCGAGGCTGTCGATGTTTTTTTTTGAGAGGCCACCATATTTGGAGAGTTGTGAGCAGCATTTGATTGTTAATATTTTTTTTCGACAAGAGATTATTTCTTTGGGCAAAGAAAGTACCTTGAACTAGGAGAGGCAGGATTTTAAGAATAGGAAACATGGGTTCTACTAAAAATATACCCAAAAGTGACCAAAAGTCAAAAAAAAGACAGAGACATTTATCACAAAATTGACAGGTTTCCGTATATATACGGAAAAGTTTACAGATCATTTAACAAGACAAGAAAATATACAATAGATAGACTGTTAGAATTTTTTAATACAAGTGTCTAAAGCCTGCAATGTAGAAGATATTTTACTAACCTATTGTAACTGGCTGAATAGTTAGAACCCAAAAAAGCCTTGAAATTACCTTAAAACCTAGTTGAAACTAGTGAAGCTATTGAAATCCAGGGTTCTGAATTTAACAACAAGAATCAGGCTATCAAAGGACTTTAAGAAATCGATGTAAATACCATCAATGTGATTGCCATTCTCGAATCCATACAATGGGTCAACTTGGTAAACTGCTAGATAGTCAATTGTTGATTTGTTATTGTAAAACCCCAACTGACTCTCATGATTTCACCACAAAACTGACTAAGCTAATGAATATAAACAAGACTAAAGAATAAATGTTGTCGTGCTAAACACATTTTACAAACTACCGCCTAGACGCCTGTATACGTGGAAATCACCTAGAGACAACGGAGAAGACGTTATTATTAGAAATCAAATAGACTATATGCTTGTTAACAAAAGATATCGAAATAGTTTCAACAGTGTTAAAACCTACCCAGACGCTGATATTCAATCTGACCACAATCCTTTAGTGGGCGTGTATAGAACTAAGTTAAAGAAAATACGCGGAAAAACTGTAAAAAAAACATGACATGAGAAAACTGAAATGTAGCGAAGTAAAAGAAATAGTCAGCAAAACATTAAATAGAAAATTTAAAGAAATCGATAATACAACGGAAAGCACAGAAGATAAGATAGAATCCCTTAAGAAAACAATAGACGACATTAAAGACAATTTTATGAAGAACGAAGAAGGTAAGAATAAGACATGGATGACGACAGAGATTCTGCAACTAATGGAAGAAAGAAGGAAAAACAAGAACGATAACTCCATGTATAAAACATTACAGCGAGAGATACAGAGCAAGATCAGAGAAGCCAAACAGAAAGAACTGGAGAAAAAATGCCAAGAAATCGAAATTCTCCAAAGTAAATACGACGACTTCAACGTGCATAAGAAGGTAAGAGAAATTACAGGTAAATGTAAAAACAGAAGAATAAGTAAACTTGTTAATGACAATGGAGAGATAATCGTGGACAAAGAGAGTATCAATGATACCTGGAAAAATTACATAAGAAATTTATTTTTTGATGAGAGAGAGAACCAGCACCCAATACCTACGGAAACAGGGCCACCTATACTAGTGGCAGAAATAAGAGCAGCCATAATATCACTAAAAGAAGGTAGAGCTCCAGGATCAGACGGAGTACAATCTGAATTTCTTAAACTTCTTGATGATGAATCTTTAAGAGTACTATGTAAAATCTTCAATAATATCTATGACACAGGCAATATCCCAAAAGATTGGCTACTTTCAGAATTTATTACCTTGCCAAAGAAACAGGGAGCAAAAAAGTGCAGAGAATATAGGCTAATAAGTCTAATGAGCCATACATTAAAACTTTTTCTTAAAATTATACATCGTAGAATATACAAGCAATGCGAAGAGAGAATACAAGACACACAGTTTGGATTCATGAAAGGCGTAGGTACAAGAGATGCACTGTTTAGTCTACAAGTATTATTTCAAAGATGCAGAGATATGACTTGCGATATTTACACCTGCTTTGTGGACTACCAAAAAGCATTTGATACAGTTCAACACCAAAAAATGATGGATATTCTAACAAAAGCCCAAATGGATGATAAAGATCGGCGTAGAATACAAAATTTATACTGGAACCAATCAGCCACAATAAGAACGAATTTTGGAGGTGAACCAACGGAAATGATCCAGATTCTACGAGGCGTTAGACAAGGTTGTATACTTTCACCTATATTATTTAATCTATATTCAGAGGAAATATTTAATGAAGCCTTGGAAAAATGCGAACATGGAATACTTCTAAATGGAGAACGCCTAAACAATATCCGTTATGCAGACGACACCATTTTTGCAGACAGTTTGAACAGTTTACAGCAACTAATAAACAAAGTAAATGAAGTTAGTGAAAGATTTGGACTTCAAGTAAATATAACAAAAACTAAATTTATGATCATCAGCAAAAATAAAGTTAGAGACGCTCAACTACTTATCAATAATACACCAGTGGACCGAGTAAAACAGTATAACTATCTTGGAACAACAGTAAATGAACAATGGGATCACTCACAGGAAATAAAATGTAGAATAGAGAAGGCTAGGAGTGCATTCAATAACATGGCCAAACTCTTTAAAAGCCACAATCTTAATCTGGAAATAAAAGTAAGGCTCCTCAGATGTTATATCTTCTCAATATTGTATTACGGAGTTGAATCCTGGACACTAACTGAAGCAATGGAGAAAAAACTTGAAGCCTTCGAGATGTGGCTATACAGGCGAATTCTAAGGATATCATGGACAGACAAGATAACCAACGAGACCGTATTACGAAGAGTGGGCAAAGAAAGAGAGGTGATGTATACCATTAAAAGGAGAAAGTTGGAATATCTCGGACATATAATGAGAAACAGCACTAAATACAGATTACTGAAGGTAATCCTACAGGGTAAAGTATTCGGAAAGCGGGGAATTGGGAGAAGGAGAATATCATGGTTGAAGAACCTGAGGAAATGGTTCTCCACAAAAACAACGAATCTATTTAAAGCATCATTTAATAAAATAATTATAGCCAGAATGATTGCCAATATTCGGAACGAATAGGCACTGAAAGAAGAAGAAAGAATAAATCTAAACATAAGCAAGACTATCAAACATGTCAAACAATTTTGACATCGCGGACTGAATCCGTACGCCTCTGGGTCTCTGTAAGTACTTACGTCACTATTAGCATCACCTGACTTCCATAAACTGAGAAAAATACCAGTTGTCAAAGATTTACACATAGTACTTAACCATACAAGTTTTGAGAAATATATGAGAGATCTTGTTTGATTCACAGTCCTCAGCTTTTTTTGGCTTGGATTTTATAAAAATCATCAAAAACCTAAAGATTGCTTTTACTTTTACCTATCGTGTGACTGTTAAAATAGAACATAAGAATCTATCGGCCTGGATATATTAGAAAATAACAGGATAACTTAGCTATCTAGAAGCATAAGATGGGGCGCGGCAACT